CACTGCTGACACTCATTCAGTTTGCTCATCACCCTGTTGTATTGGGGTGTCCCTGTTGGGGCCTGCAGCCCTTCAGCTTTCTCTGCTGCACACCTCTCATGCTGCTGCTTCATTCCATTCCCGAGTTATCCCTGTGTTATCACTGTGTTTGGAGTCTAATATTTTCCTCTGGCATGGTTTACATTTTCACTTTGCTGCAGTGCATACTTCAGCATCTTGTTCAGAAATTATGCAAGGTGGGGTAAATCATCTAGTCTCCGGTCTGCTTCCCATTCCTTTCAGTTGACTAAACATATATGACTAAAATTCTGGCTTCCAGAAAGTGTTCCCAGGGCCAGTGTTGGGGCAGAGCCACTCCAGGCACCTCTTGCATCGCTGGCATCTCGTGTCTGCGTGTCAGTTTGTGTACCAGTTAGTTCTGGTTCTGACTGAGCTCCCTGCCCATGTGCTGGCGAAAACAGTGGATGGTAATGAAAGTTTTTGGGCTTCTGTCGGGTGCCACACAGGCCGGGATGCTGTTCCTACTGTATTAGGGTGGTCATTTGAGGAGTGACCCAGTAGATGCAAGATCGTTCTGCCTCCACCTTTTTTTTTGTAACACTCTGCTTTTCAAATCAATAAAATACATCTAAAAAATGTCTTTCCCTCGGAGTTTGGAGTCAGTGCTCCATTGTCTTTTAGCATTCAGCATTGCTGGTGAGCAGGCAGTGTGTTTTGTTCTTCCAGAAGTGTTCAGGTTTTCTCCTTGGAAGCATTTAGGAGTCTTCCTGGAAATGCAACATTTTACCTTGAGGTATAGGTTTTTACCTACTATTTTTTTTTTTTTTTTTGCTAGATATTTGGTGGAATATTTCAGTCTGAAGACCTGTGTCATCTTCAATTTGCAGAAATGTTTGCTGTCATCTGTTTGATTTTTCTATTTTTGAGAAAGATTTGTTTATTTTTTAATGAACGGCAGATTTACAGAGAGAAGGAGAGACAGAGAGAAAGATCTTCCATCCATTAGTTCACTCCCCAAATGGTTACAGTGACCCAAGCTGAGCTGATCCAAAGTCAGGAGCCAGGAGCTTCTTCCACGTGCAGGGTGCAGGATGCAGGTCCCGAGGCTTTGGGCCATCCTCTACTGTTTTCCCAGGCTCAATCATGGAGCTGGAAGGATGTGGAGCAGTTGGGATATGAACCGGTGTCCATATGGGATCCTGGCGCGTGTACAGGGAGAATTAACCAATTGAACCATCATGTCAGGCTCTCTTCTCTATTTTATTCAAGTTTTCTACCCCTTTATCTTTTTGTTCTACGTGTGTGGGGGTTTTTTATTGTTATTAAAATGTGTATCTCTTTATTTGAAAGGCAGAGTGCTGGAGAGAGGGAGAGACCGAGTTACTTTTACCGGTTCATTCCCCAAATGGCTACAGTGTCTAGGACTTGGTCAGACTGAAGCCAAAACTCCATCCACGAGTGGCAGGGCCAAGCACTTGGGCCAGCCTCTGTTGATTTACCCGGCACATTAGCAGGAAGCTGGATGAGAAGTGGACCAGCCAGGGCTCGAACTCGCACTCTGACTATGGGGTGCCAATGTGGCAAGTGTTGAGATGCACTACAACACTATCCCGAAGTGCCTGGGTATGAACCCTGTCTTTCAGATCTATCTTGTTTTTAGTTTGAGTGACCACCTTTCTAATTCCCGTAAGGATCTTTCCTGTTCTTGGATTGTTTTTCCCCAGAGCATCTTAATTTTTTTTTAAGATTTATTTATTTTTATTGGAAAGTCAGATATACAGAGAGGAGGAGAGACAGAGAGGAAGATCTTCCATCTGATGATTCACTCCCCAAGTGGCCACCAGGCCAGAGCTGAGATGATCTGAAGCCAGCAGCCCAGAGCCTCTTCTAGGTCTCCTGTGCAGGTACAGGGTCCCAAGGCTTTGGGCCGTCCTTGACTGCTTTCCCAGGCCACAAGCAGGGAGCTGGATGGGAAATGGGGCAGCAAGGACACAAGCTGGCACCCATATAGTATCCTGGTACATGCAAGGCCAGGTTAGCCACTAGGCTATTGTGCTGGGCCCCAAGGCATCTCATTTTACAGGTAGAATATTCTTGGTATCTCTGGAACCAGTCATTGTTTTCTTTAAAATTCTGCCCCTGTGTCCTGATTTACTTGTTTCTTCTAACCAGACTGCTCTGTTCCTGTTGTCCAGTGCTGTTGATCCTGGTCCCTGACGCACATTCCCCTTGTGGTGTGGTGTGTGCTGGTGGGGAGCTGTCTGAATCTGTGAGTGAGTGTGTGCTAGCCTACGGCTCTTTCCGGGGTACCAACCTCCACGCTGGCTTCCTGTAGGTAGGGGAGTACCCCAGGTTTCCGTTTCATTCCCTTTCACTCTGTATCATTTTCTCTACTTCCCAGGTTTCTGAAATTCATGGATAGTGGGATTCCACCATCCCACTCCTCTGTACCATGGGAATGTACTTCCTCTTTTCCTACCATGTTGATAGAATCTTGGCCAGGGTGGGGGAAGGGCAGGGAAGGGTGACAGGTGTTCTTACCATGGTTTTTTAAACAAAAAGACTCTAAAAATGATCTCTCCGTATTTTAAAATGACCACTGTAGAAAACTGAGAAAATATAAGCAATTAAACATAAACAACCCTCCTACCCCCTAGCAATATTTCGCTAACATTTAAAAATGTGTTCTGGTTTCTTTTTCTATGCATGAATCTGTTTTTTATATAACAGTGGGATCATACCATATGTTCTGCTTTCAATATGCATCTTAAAATCCCAACAATAGATTTCAAAGTCAGAGTTACAGAGAAAGAAAGGAGAGAGACAGAGATTTCTCTCCCCAAATGGCTGTAGCAGCCAGGACTCAGCCACACTCAAACCAAGAGCCAGAAACTTCATCTAGGTCTCCCACTTGCATGGCTGGGAGGAACCATTTCCCCCTGATTTTCCAGGTATGTTAGCAGGGAACTAGATAGGAAGTCTAGCAGTCAGAACCTGAACAGGGCCCCATGTGGGATACTGCCATTGTAAGTGGGAGCTTAACACACTGTGCCACAGCACTGCCCCAGCCCGACAATAGATTTTGAGTTTTTATATCACAGAATAGTCTAAAGATGTAATATTTGCTGAAAGATGATATCATCACCGATTTTGCCAATCCTTGATTTTTTTTTTTAAGACATTAAACTATGGGGTTGTTTTTGGTACCCTAAACAAGCATGTATAAAGTTGTTTGACTACTTTTACTCATGCCTGTAACTTTTTACTTTGGCTAGAATCTTGGCACTGGAACTGTTGGGTGACGTGTGTTCAGGCCCCCTCTCCGGCCAGTCCCTTGCTGGACTTGCTGACCCTAAGCTTGTGCCTCATCACACTCAGCTGGCATCCCTGTGCATCAGACAGGTTTCCCAGTTACCAAGATGACATTAAGCTGTTTTAGTTAACCTCCGTGAGCACTTTTCTCTAAAATGGCGTATAATTCTGCTTTCCCGCTATGGTGTTTGTGAAGTTTAAATAACATAAAAAGTGCACGTAAAGCACCTAACAGGGGTCCTGTCTGTTGAAAAGATCAACAGTGAATGATGATGGGTTGTAACGTTTTTGTGATCCTCATTCAAGGCTGTGTTTGAGACGTCCCCGGCTCTGGGAGACTGACTCCCTGTGCCGTTGGAGCACTTAGGGCTGGACCATCACTGTTATTCAGTGACACTCCCATGTACATTTGTTCTAAGTCTGTGTCTCCATCCATGGCCGGTTGCTGTTACATACCCTGGACTGGGTAAAACAAAGAAAAAAGCATTAATTCAGCTTACAGTTTTGGAGACTGGAGGGCGGGGCCATCAGCTCAGCTTCAGGGAGGCCCTCGTGGCGGATAGCATCACAGGCATGGACAGGCATGTAGGAGAGCGCATGGAAGGTGAGAAATGGGAGAGACCAGGAGAGGCTAGGCTTGTTCCTTTGCAGGGGCTCATGCAAGGACAGAGCCCCTGTTGACCTGAGGACCTCCCACGGAGCTCTGCTCTTGAGGGTCCCACTCGCTCTTCATTGTCACAGAGAACTGGGGCTCCCTCACAAAATCCAGGACACCTGCAGGACACACTCAAGCCATGTCAAACCCTAGCAGGAGGGAAGCAGACTGGGTTCCCTTCCGCATCTGACGCTGTGCCAGTGGTCCAGCATCATCACAAAATAATCCACTTTCTTTCATGTCCTTGGGGAGAGGAGGTGGTGATGGCAAGGAGCGTGCAATGCAATGTTCATAGCCTCAGGGTTATTTTTTAAAGAATATTTATTTTTTTGGAAAGGCAGAGACTAAGAAATAGACACAGAGACAGAAATCTCCTGCCCTATGATTTGCTTCCTAAATTTCTACAACAGACAGTGGTAGGCTAGGCTGAAACCTGGAGCTGAGAACTCAGCGTGGGTCTCCCAAAGTGTGGCAGGGACCTACGTCCTTGAATTGTGACCTGCTGTCTTTCGTGGTGTACATTAGCAGGAAACTGGAATTGAGAATGCGATGTGGAACACAGACTTCCTACTCAGCACCTCTATCTCCATGCCCAATGTCTGTGCCAGGATTGGTTTTTTGGTTTCCTTGAAGTACTTGGGAGGGTGGTACATGACCCTGGACACCTGGACCCACAGCAGGGAAAACTGCTTGCTGGTCCTTTGGCAAATGCTGGGGCGTCTGTCAGCTGAGCAGGCTCAGGCTCAGCAGGCAGCATCGGGTTAGGATGTTGCCTGTGCGTGGTGCAGCCACACAGGATGATCAGATGTTCTTGTACCCTAAAGGGCTTCCCTTCTGAGCACCTCCCAGCCTACAAAGGTCCCTTTCATAGCCCCACGCATGCCTCCCCAGTTGCCAGGGGAGATTGAAACAGAGCTGAGGCTGGGGGAGGCTGGGACAAGGGAGTGCTTCCAAGGGGAGGGCCCTGAAGGAGGGGAGGGGGATTCCCAGAGCCGACCCAGTTTACCCCATCCCCCACCTGGGTGTCTTTCAGGAGTCATGGCCGGCTTCAACATGGGGGGCGACCTCAGGGATCCTGCTGGCAGCATCCCGCTCGGCTCACTGGCGGCTGTGGGCATCTCGTAAGTTCCGCCATGTAGCTGCAGAACGGGGGAGAAAAGCCCAGGGCAGAAGGGGCGAGAGGAATTGCCCCTTTTGTTCCCAGAGTGCCTGGACTGTGACCGGTCTGCTTCATACCCTGATCCTCCTTTTAGGGCTCAGTGGGCTGGAAAATTCCCGTCTGCTGCCTTCAGACACTGCCTTCTCATACATTGCCCCGGCTTGGAAGGCTGCCTGGAGGAGTGGCAGCAGTGCAGATCTCAGACCCTTGTCCCCTTCCCCGCTACAGCTTTGAACTTGGAGTATGTTTTTTTCTTTTTAAGTTATTGCGTTTCCAAGATCATTGGCAGGAATGTAAGGCTGAAGAGCTTTACCATGGGACGGACCCATGAGGGTTTGCATCCCGTGAAGCTCTCTGAGTTTCCATGTCCTTTTGTAGGAAAGTGAGGTGGGGATGTGCCTTGGCTGTTGTGTGTGAAGCCGTGGGGCAGGTGTCTTGCTCCCCCCACGCCAGCCTCCCTCCAACTCCCCAAGACTGTCAGCCTGCTGGGGTGTTAGTTCACCTGTGCCACTCCCACTCACAGGCTGGCTGGTTAGCCTTGGGTCTGTTTCTGGTCCTCTAGAATCTTCTGATCTCTCTGTGGCACAAGGAGTTTTACTGCCCCTGACTGGGAGGGCGGGAAAAGGCAATGTGAGATCCTAGACATGACGGGGGTTGGGAAGTATAAGAAGTTATTTTAACTGTTACATTGTTTAGGCATTTATCTATTTATGCTTGAAAAGTAGAGTGACACAGAGCTAGAGAGAGTCAGAGATTCCATCTTGTGGTTCACTTCCCAAGTGACTACAACAGGAAGTCCAGAATTCCATCTGGGTAGGATCGCGGGTACTGGGGTTATCCGTTGCTGCTGCTTTACCAGCTATGTTATTGGGGAGCTACCAGATGCAAAGCAGAGTAGCCCAGACTTGTACTCGCATTTGGAACGTGGGCCTCGCAAGTGGCGATTTAGCCCACTGTGCCTCAACGCCAGTGCCAACTGTGGCAGTGTTCAGGGCATTAATATATCTCCATCATAGGTGCAGAGTCTGCTGTTGGTTTACTGCACAGCAAGTGTTGCAAGCAGCCAGCATTCACACCAGGCTGTTGTGTGCAAAATACAGCAATTGTAATGAAGGGAAGTGAAGACCGCAGAAGTTGCTGTTGAGTTTGCAGAAGAATGAAAAGAAAGCAGCTTCTACATGGGAACTGTCTTGATTTTTTTTTTTTTTTTGGTAATTGCTGGGAGTCTCTAGGAAGAACCTTTGCCGCCCCCCAGCCCCCAACTGCCACCAAGAAGGTCACAAGTGGTCCCAAGGGTCAATGTGCTTGGTCAAGATTCCTGGGCATCCTGGGGACAGAGCCAGCCCACGGTGGCTTTTCACATTTTTGCTTTCCTTTCTGTTATCTAGAAGTAGAGGCCCACAAGGTCATTGACTTCTTTCTCTGCTCAGCAGAGGCTGCGGGTGAACCCTGCACAGCACAGAGGCAGCCTGGCCTCCTGTGTCCTCCACCCCTGACATGTTGTGTGTTTTTCCTCTTCTAATATAAGAAAGAAACAAAGCAGCATTGCGTTTCCTGCCCCCCTTTTTGGTATGAACTATGCTAAAAGAGAAATAGTAGAAAAAGCCCCCATCCACACCCCCAGGCCCAGGCCAGCTGGGATGAGCAGCCCTGGTGATTGGTCTTTCTCTTCCGTTTCAGGGCTTGTCCCCATGAAAAACTAGAGGTGATGTGGTGTGGGTTGGGATGGGCTTGGGTGAGGCCGTGGCAGCTCTGCTCTCCTCTTGCATCTTGCAGGTGGTTTCTGTATGTTGTCTTCGTCCTGCTGCTTGGCGCAGTCTGTACCCGCGAGGCTCTTCGCTATGACTTCCTGATAGCTGAAAAGGTACGTGAGTTCTGCGCTGCCCAAAAGGCTCACCCACTGGCTGGCTTGTCCGCTCCCATTGCTCTAAGGCTGCCTTCCCATTGCTGTCCATCTGGGAGTCCCTGTGTTTTGAGCTCAGGACTGAAGGAAAGCATGCAGCTTCTGTTTATAGCAGCCTAGGGACAGGTCCCAGTACCCAGGGAAACAGGCTAGAGCCTGAGGATGGCTCCATCATAGAAACCAGGATGTGGTCAACCAAATCCCCAGCTCACAAGCACTATGACTTTTGTGGGTTTTTGTTTCATCTTTTTTTTTTCTTTTTTTTTTTTTTAAGATTTATTTCTTTATTTGAAAGGAAGAACCACAGAACAAGATGGAATAGGGAGAGAGATCTTCCATCTGCTGGTTTACTCCCCAAAGGCTACAATGGCCCTGGGCTGAGCTAAGCTGAAGTCAAGAATCAGAAACTCTGTCCAGGTCTCCCATGTGAGTTACAGGGGCTTAAACTCTTAGCCCCTCTTGCCTTTCTTTGCCGGGTACCTTAACAGGTAGCTGGACTGGATGTGGAACAGTCAGATTCAAACCAGTGCCCAGCGGGGACCAGCATCGCAGGCAGCAGCTTCATGTGCTGTGCCATTATGCTGACCCCAATGCCTTCGTTTGACCGATTTCTATACTTTCTGCCCAAGTCAGAAAGTACTGATCACAAGAAGCCAAGGAAAGAGGAGGCTGAGGACCCGTGAAGGGGGGGGGGGGGTGGAGCAGAGCGAGACAGAGGAGCCAAACACCAGGGTGAGGGCCTGGCAGAGAGTGCGCAGGAGAGGGGGCCTGCCCGTGCCTGACAGCCCTGACCTCTCTGGCCTCCCTAAGAATCCCAAGGACGAGCTGTAGCACCTTTGTTCTGGGACGCGCATCCTGCAGGGGGAGGATAAGTGAAGTCTTTGTGTTCTCTGGCCCCCCCTGAGCGGGCTGGAGGTCAGTGATGGCGAGGACATTGATTTGGCATTGCTTGAAGCTCCAGGAATAACATTTCCAAGTGTTTTTCTGGAAATCCCCAAAAACTCCTTCCCTTAGGTTCCTGGAGGAAAACTAGCCTTGAAATTCCCATCAGAGAAGAGGAATCCCCTCCCCAGCCAACTACAGGTCTCTGGTGGGCGCCAGGGAGCCCCCTGCCCTGCCACCATCTGCCAGGGCTGCAGCTGAGCCTTGCTGCCTGTGCTTTAGAGGACAGTGCAGTGTTGAGCTGGGGTTAGGCTGTACAGAGCAGGAAAATATGGGGCAGGAAACTTGGAATGGATTTTTTTTTAAAGATTTTATTATTTTTATTGAAAGGCAGATATACAGAGAGGAGAGACAGAGAGGAAGATCTTCCGTCCGATGATTCACTCCCCAAGTGAGCGCAACGGTCGATGCTATGCCGATCCGAAGCCAGGAGCCTCTTCCCGAAGCCAGGAGCCTCTTCCGGGTCTCCCACGCAGGTGCAGGGTCCCAAAGCCTTGGGCTGTCCTCGACTGCTTTCCTGGGCCACAGGCAGGGAGCTGGAAGGGAAGCGGGGCTGCCGGGATAGAACCGGCACCCATATGGGATCCCGGGCGTGCAAGGCGAGGACCTTAACCACTGCGCCACCGCGCCGGGCCCGGAATTGATTTTTTAAAATTATTTTTATCTAACTGCCTCTATTCATTTGAAAGAGAGGAAGAGATTTTTCTGACTGCTGGTTCACTCCCCAAATGTCAGCAACAGTGAGGACCGGGCCAGGCTCCTTCTAAACCAGGAGTCGAACTCCATCCAGGTTGTCCCATGCAGGTGGCAGGGGCCTAAGCCCTAGATTCGTCATCCACCTGGCAGGTTGCACATTAGCAGAAAGCTGGAATCTGGAGAGTGGTGCCAGGACTCAAACCAGCACTCACTGGATATGAGATACAGGTGTCTGCAGCAATTGCCCCTGTCTGAATTCACTTTTAAGAAATACATTTGGGGTACAGCGTGGTAGCCTGGTGGCTAAAGTGCTTGCCTTATATGCGCCAGGATCACAAATGGGCACCAGTTCATCTCCCAGTGGCCCCACTTCCCAGCTAGCTCCCTGGTTGTAGCCTGGGAAAACAGTAGAGGATGGCTCAAAGCCTTGGGACCCTGCATCCGTGTGGGAGACCTGGAAGAAGCTCCTGGCTCCTGGCTTCAGATCGGCTCAGCTCTGGCCGTTGCAGCCACTTGGGGAGCAAATCATTGAACAGATCTGTCTTTCCTCCTCTCTAAAATCTGACTTTCCAATAAAAAAAAAATACATTTGAACATGGTTTTCACATTAACAATGCAAGACTCCTTTTAAGCCATGTAGACACCCATGTAAAAGTGATGTTTGCTTTTCAAGCGTCATGGCAGCAGCTTGAAAGCAGGCTTTGATAAGGGGGAGCTGGCGGGTTGTCCCAGAGCTGACCCCAGGTGGTGAGGCTTGCTCTGCAGGAAGAAATCCATTTCCGTGTTTGTATCCACATGCGCACTTCTGTCTGGAGTTTCATCTCCCCTCGGGCCTTTTCTCCAATTGTAGAATGAAAAGCTTAACTGCATTAGAAGAATCAGAGGCCTCCAAGGGCCGCTGAAGTGAGAAGGATCGTTTGACTAGGAAGAACTGATGGCAATTTGTTCTCAGCTCGCCCGCGGCTGGCTGGCTCCATCTTCTGAAACTGCTGCCTTCGGAGCAGCTTCCTTCCGTGAGGTCCTTTCAAAGCATCAGCGATCCTGGTCTGCATGGAAGGTCCCCAGAGCTCCTCTCTCCTCTCCTCCCCTTCATGGGCGACCTTCCGAATGGAACTGTAGGAAGGCAGGCATCCTTGTGTCCAGAGAAGGCCAGGGGCATCTCTGAGGTGGCCCAGCAGAGTCCCCAAGGGTGAAACCCAGAACCTGGACACGGGAATGCTGCCTACCCCAAACAAGAGATAGCAGGCCCGCCCTTGGCCAGTTGGAGGCATTTGTCCAGTCAGACCCATCCGTAGTGTGTGGACACGCATACACACACCAGGATAAAAGATGGAGGTTTAATTTAGGGGGAGGATGATGTCATTTCCTTGAAATAAATGACTAGGAAGTCTACTAGCAAGCTACTAGTCTGAGCTTCCAGTGGCAAACAAGGGCGGGGACAGCAAGTGAAGGAACCAATCACGGTAGGACCCAAAACAGCAGCGTCTTCATGTCTAGTGTCCCTCCCGCTACAAACTCCTCCATAACAGGATCTCCAGAAAACACCTTTCCTCCAGAACTTTTCTTCTTTTCTCACTATCCTAAATGTCCCTTCTTGGTTCTGCCTTGGCAGCAGGAGCAGAAATTATACTTAGTCAATTGGGCCATGGGCAACTTGACTAACAGGGCCCGGAGAACGAGGAGGCTGCAACAGAGAGAAGCTAGAGTGCCAGGCCAGAATTCCTGCCTGGCCACTGGACCCAGTCTACCATCCTGGTATGGTTTTCACAAGCCATGCAGCTAGGCCTCAGTTCTGGGCCCCTCATGGAGCTTTCCCGGGTCCTGAAGAAACCAGCTGCATCTGTTTTGGGGCTGTGAGTTTTGCCATGGGACACAGAGCGGCCTCTCCCCTGACTGCCCCCTGAGTGCTGGCTCCCACACCTCTCTCTCTCTCCCCGGGCCTTTCTGCCGGACCACTCTTGGATGACTGCAGGCCGCCCTGCCCTGCTTTCTCCTGATGGCCAGCTGCTCCATCTCCAGGTCTCCTGCAGCTTCTCTAGTCTGGTTCTGTCCTTTCCCAGTTCTTGAGTGTTGGTCTCAGCAATGTTCTGCTTTTTTTTTTTTTTTTAAAAAAAAGGTTTATTTATTTTTATTTATTGCAAAGTCAGGTATACAGAGAGGAGAGACAGAGAAGAAGATCCTCCATCCGATGATTCATTCCCAAGTGACTGCTATGACCGGTGGCGTGCTGATCCGAACCCAGGAGCCAGGAGCTCTTCCAGGTTTCCTACGTGGGTGCAGGGTCCCAAGGCTCTGGGCCATCCTCGACCACTCTCCCAGGCCATAAACAGGGAGCTGGATGGGAATTGGAACTGCTGGGACTACAACCAGCACCCATATGGGATCCTGGCATGTTCAAAGTAACGACTTTAGCTGCTAGGCCACAGCACCGGGCCCATGTTCTGCTTTCTTAAACCATTTTTTTAGTAGACTGTAAGAGCCCTGAGAGACCTGTGTACACACACTATTTGTCACACAGTAGGTGTTTACTGTGTTTCAGCTCCTCTCCATACTCTTAATGGCGGCACATTGACAGATGTTTCTTTTACGGACACTTTTGGTTGCATGAATCTGCCATGTTTAATTGACTTAAAAAAGCCAACATTTTATCTCAATATTATTCAGTGATAGAGACATGAATTGTGTGAAGAATAGTTTCCATAGAGATGAAATTAAGTAGGTTAAATATCTTAAGATATAATTGCATACATGAAAAAGATGATCAAAAAGATCAATTGCCTTGGAAGCCATGAAGCTTGCATAGTAGCAAAATAAGAACAAACTAAGTAGGAAAGGACCCCCAGAGTCTGAAGGGTACTCTGAAAAGGTCACAGACAATGGATCATGAAATCCATGCATGGGTTCTTAAAGGTTTATGGAACACTTACATATATCCTGGGAAAATATGTGTACACTTACCTTTTGATTTTTAAGATTCATGTGTTTGAAAGACAGCGTTGCAGAGAGGCAGGGGAGAGATAGAGATCTTCCGTGTGATGGTTCATTCCCCAAATGACTGTAACAGCCAAAGCTGTGCCAGTCCAAAGCCAGCCTTAAGTTTCTTCTGTGTCTCCCACATGGGTGCTGGAGCCGAAGGACGTGGGCCATCTGCTGCTGCTTCCCCAGGTGCATTAGCAGGGAGCTGGATGGGAAGTGGAGCAGCTGGGACTTGAACAGGTGCCCATGTGGGTTGCTAGTGTTGCAGTGGTGACCCAATCAGCTGCACTACAACACTAGCCCCAAAAAGATAGTCATTTTTTTTTTTGTGATGGAACACATAGGTATATAACAAAAGAGGGCCATTTTTTTTTTAAATGTTAATACTCATCTGCCTAAAGAACTTTGTACCTCCACCTCCACTGGCACATTGCATGAGCCTGCGCTCAGCACAAGTAGAGAATGTGGTTTAGCTCTGTAAGGGCTGGTAGCCAAGCTGCATGGCTTACTGTTGTGCCTGTGGCATCTAGCTCCGTTCCCAGCACCTCCATCACCCCAACCCCGTGCCAGGAGACTGACCTGTCCCAGTGAGTGCTTCCTAGATGCATGGGTCACTGATAAATGGGAAGGAAGAGACAGCATTCAAGCAGGTAAGAGGGGCTATAGAGTTTTTATAATTTATCCAGACATGAGATCCAACATTTTATTTTTCAGAAAATAGACTACATAGCAGCCTTATGTTTAAGAGTTAAAATACTCACATCCCATATGAGAGTGCCTGGATTTGAGTCCCAGATCTGCTTCCAATCCAGCTTCCTGTTGCTGCACACCCTGGGCAGTAGCTAGGTGTGATGGCTCATGAACATGGGTCCCTGCTACTGACGCGGGAGCACCAGGTGGAGTTCTGGGCTCCTGGCTTTGGTCTGGCCTGGTACTAGTTATTGCTGGCATTTGGAGGGGTGAATCAGTAAATGGAAGATCTCTCTTCTCTCCATGCCTTTTCTCCCAAAAGAAAAATGTAGAAAGTGAATTTGTCATCTAAATACAGTTGACAAAGTAGACATAAATAAGTCATCATAACAGGACAGCCATACTGGAGCCTCATCTCCAGGTGTTCTGGTGGAATCCCAGAGTGTACCCAGGATGAAGTGACCACATCGTGTGCTCGCTCTATTCCTGAAGCCAGCCTTCTAGAAGGACACCGGATTGGGCAGGCTCATTCCCATTCTGTAAATAGAGACTTCAAATGACAATTTATCACAAATACAAGGAGTCTTTAAAGCATTTGTGGACAAGAACATTATGCAAAAACTACAGATAGGATTCAGCATGGTTTTGAATCTAAAAAAATCATTTAAATTCTATTTTTCCTGAAAAAGAATTTTTTACAGTACTCTTATACTGTAGAGTGGAGTTTCTGCAGGGAGTTCCGTGCCTGACACTCCTGCGGAATGCTTGAGCAGGGCAGTGGAGGGAGGCGCAGTGGGTGTGCTGTGCTCTGCTCAGGGCTCCCGGTCCTGGCTGCACATCGCGCTCACCTGGGGCTTCTGAAAACTCAACAGCTTCTGTGTCCTGCTCCAGACGAATCTGTTCAGAAGGCCTGGGGTGATTCTTACCTGGAGCTAGAGTAGAGACACACAGAGCTAAGTTTTCCAAAAGCAAATGATAAAATTTCATCATGGAGTCTGTTTTTTTTTTTAACAAAACAAAACAAAAAACAAACACACACACACACACACACACAAAACAGTTCACATAGCATGAACTGGTGGAGAAGACAGGAAGCCAGATAATAAATGAGAGATTGCATCTCAGAATGCCTCAAGGATTGATCATGGGGCCAGTGGATTCAGCAGCTTGTCAGACTTTCAGGGTACAGATCACAGCAAAGTTGTGAAGGCTAGTTAGCTCCTGAGTCCCGTTAGCCCAAACTGTGTGTCAGGTGCTGTGAGGCAGGTGCCAAGATGCTTGATACAGATCTGCATTTAAGAAGCACCTGGTGTTCTGGCAAGATAAGCAGGAGCTAATGAACCATCCCGCAGGGTAAAAGATAACAGGAGCCCACAGTGCCTCTCAAGTAATAAAAGGTCAGTGAAGAACTGAGACGAGTGAGTTTATGCGGGATTAAGAATGAGAGGCTGCATTTCTATAGGGAAGAGCAACCCCCCAGTGAATTAAAGAGAAGACGGGCTCTGTAGAAGGCTTGAGCTTTTGTCCATCAAGCCTTTGTCATCCCTGACCATGGCAGGCTAACCCACATTATGTACAATCTTGAAGTGCCTTCATTTAATATCCCAACAGCTGGAAGGAACAGACCCTCTCCTGCCTGTCCCTTTGCAGCCCTGGAAGGGCACTTGACCCAGACTGAGTCATCAGATGCTTCAATTAGAATGAATGAGGCAGGGATAGCGATGGTGAGAGGTGGGCTCTGGGTACAGCAGTTACGACACCATCCATTCCCCCGCTTCTTTGTGCCTGGTTTGAGTCCCAGCTCCTCTACTGTCTGCTACAGCCTCCGCTCATGTGCATCCTGGGAGTCAGCAGGTGCCATCTCCACCCATTTAGGAGACTTAGATCAAGTTCCAGACTCTGGTGGTCCACGGGGAGGGAACCAGAGGGTGGAAGCTCTCTCTGAGGGTTTCTTTGTCTTTAAAATAAAATATAGGTGATTTTTAAATGTTGAGAATTCCTCTGCATGGCTGTTGGTAGCATCCAGATCACATTGTCCCCGTTGAAGTCCAGGTGTGTCTTCTGCCTTTTTCTGAACCTAAAATGATTTCTCAATGATTCTGCCAGTCTCCAGTATCCTACAAACATACCTCTTTTTTCTTTGGTTTTGTTTTTTTAAAGGGAGCAAGGTGCTTTTTCCTGAGCAAGAATCATGATGCAGGATTCAGCCAAGTTATTCCAGGGGTAACTTAAGAGCCAGAAAGGAGATCCAGCCATGGCTTATGTTCAGTGTGGCTCAGTGACAGGGATCCAGGGGCATTGCTGAAGCAAGGGAAGAAAATATGGGACAAGGTCAGCTTCCAGCAAGAAGGGTGGCAAAGCTGGACATTAAATCTGACCTCTCTGTAAGAGCTGGGCAAAGGCACTTGGCCACTGGATTCAAGTACAGTGCGTGGGGGCACTGCCAACAACCAGGAGAGCAGAGAGCCTTGCCTGAGCACAGGGGAGGTCCATTTCAGGCTGGCGTGGGGGCTTCAGATGGGTGGCCAGAGACACAGAGGAATGGTTCTAATCTACTCGCCCTCTCTGACCTTGTCTGCAGACACCTTGCAGGCCAAGGTGAGAGGTCCCATTGAGCCCCTCAGCATGTATCTTTCTGAATTAGACACAGCAAACTAGGCTGAGTCACCACAGGGTGCTGTCCCCACCTCTGCCTGAGGTGCACAGAGCCCTGAGGAAGAGGAACTGGAGGTGGCCTCATGGAGGAGGTGAGGTTTATGCTGAGCCCCAAGGCACACTTAGGAGTTTAGTAGACTGACAGTAGATAGAGGGGAGTGGGTGGATAGAGAGTTCCAGTAGGCAGAGAAATCATGCTGACCAAAGCCCCAGTGTGCTAATTGTGGAGTTAACATGATCATGGGCCTTGTGGGAACTGCTGCCCTGTTTGCCACAGGGCACTCTGGTCAGATTTGAGTTTAGATGGGTCACTGTGGCAGAGCTTTGGGGTGATGCAGAGTGGGGAACAGCGTAGAGGCAGGAGGAGGCCGTTAACACTGTGTTTGGACAGTGGATTTCCAAGGATGGTCCCCAACCCATCAACACCAAGATCATCGGGAAGCCTGTTGGCAATCCGGATTCTTAACACTTGAAACAGAAACTCTGGGTGACGCCCAGAAACTTCCCCAAATCCTGCGGATGAGTCTGATGCCTGCTGACCTTGAGAAACGGTGTAGTCCCTGCCAGATGTGACGGTGGACTGACCTGGGGCAGAGGAGTGCAGTGTCTGTCGGGGGCAGACGGGGGGATGTGGGAAAGACTCTACCCCAGAGGGTGACCCTGGGGTTGGGGGCTCTGCTGCAGTCAGCTGGGTGGCGTGGGGGCAGTGGAAAGGTCCTGGCATTGGGTTAATGCAGCTGTTTCTCCCTTAGGTGTCCCTAGTGGGCTTCCTGTTCCTGCTGGGCTTGTACATCTCATCTCTGGCCTCCTGCATGGGGGGGCTCTACGGAGCTCCCCGGATCCTGCAGTGCATTGCCCAGGAGAAGGTGATTCCGGCGCTTGCCTGCCTGGGCCAAGGGGTGAGAAACACACGTTTTCCCATGAACCCACTTGTTGGCACACACATGCTTTAGTTGTTCTGATAAGAGTCCTTGCACAGCTCTGCCACATGAGACAGATGGGAATGCAGTGATTTCTTCCAGCCTCATCTTGTGGCCTGCTTTGGGCTGGGGTCAGTTAGATGAATCACCTTAAATGTCTATAGCACCCTGTGCCCCCAGCACAGGGTTAGCCAGCCAGGCCCAGCAGCAACTTGCACTCGAGCATCAGGAACAGGAGGGCCCTGGCTCCCGATAAAAATACATTAGGCTTAGTGGTTAAGTTGCAGGTTAGCAGCCCGCATACCACATCAGAATACATGAGTTTGAGTCCTGGCCATACTTCCAACTCCAGCTTCCTGCTAATGTGCAACTTGGGGAGCACATGGGAGACCTTGCTGGTTCCCAGCCTCCAGTTTTGGCATGGAAGATTCCTTTGGTTAGGGAGGGAGCCAACTCGCAAGTCTCATCTTGTCCTCAGGAATTGCTGTTGGATGATTTCGCCACATCCCTGGCCTCTGAGCTCTCTGCTGTCAGGCCCTAAACCGTAACTGCCTCTGTGTGGCTTGGATGAGAAAGGGTGGGGGGTGCAGCCCTAAGGACCTTCTGACAACCGAGAGGATGACAAGAGAGAAACAGAATCTGAGAATCCTGCTTCCCAGTAGCTTGCTAGGGTCCGCAGAGGCCTTCTGCCAGCCACTCAGGTTCCTAGCCTTTCGTGAGCAAACCATGCTTGCCTCTTCCTTGTCCTCCATCAACCTGAGCTGGGGAGGGGCAGGCACTGTTATCTCTCCTGTCTTCTGTGTGTGGATTTTTATTTCACTTCGTTTATTTTAGGAGGCCCGAGTGCCTAAAATGATCTTTTCATGCAAAGGCGGAGAGAATGCACTCTTTGTTTTTCCATCGTGTGGTTCTCCTGTGATCTGATTATTTAGTTCCCCACAGATTCACACCTGCGTGACTTCCAGGAAAAGGTGCTGCAGGGAGTCACCTCAGGTGTTGTGGTGCTGTGAGTACCCCTGGATATATGCACATGGACGTGTTTATCAGATGGCTTTTTATGAGTGAGATTGCTGGATCAAAGTGTGAATTCATGGCTAGTAGATCATATCGTTTTGTATTTTTACCAACATGTGGGAGAGGGCTCGTTTTCCCATAGCCAGGGACACCAAGCGAGCTGCACCTGAAGAGCCTGCTTCCCAGGACTGTGCTCATGTCCCACCTTCCAGAACACTTTCCAGTCAGCTGGACCCTAGACTTCCTCTTTCACATGACCCACGACTTCCTCTTTCACATGACCCACAGCCCTCTGTAGGGCCAAGAGCCCACCTGTGAGTGTGAGACCCCCTTGCTGTGATCTGAGAGAGGAAGGGGGTGGGTGCCCAGCTGCAGGCTCTGCATGCGTGTTTGCTGACAAAGGAGGAGTGCAAATATCCTCAACATGAACCTGACCTTCCCCATCATGATCGTGTCAGGCGTATTTGCCAAGGAAGGAAGATAGATCCTATTTGAGGAAGTTGTGTCTGCTTTACATGGATTAAGTTCCCAAGAGAAGCTTCTTCAGGGAGAAAGAAGTTTCATTTCAGCTGACAGGTTGAAAATCAGACGGCTCCGCTGGTCTCTAGTTGGAGTTTGTTGTGGAAGCTGCAGAGGTACAATCACAGGATGAGCCAGAAAGGGGCAAGACTAAAGCTAGTCTGAGTTTGGACTCAAAATAACTCAGAACTGTCTCCAGAACTACCCTCAGAGAGCACACCCCTGTTGAACCAGGGACTTCCCACTGGCCCCATCCCCTGGCCACAGTACTTGTAATTAGCTCGAGACTTCACCCTTATACTCCATCAGCTGGTAACATTAAGTCTTTGTCGTAGTTTTAACACCACCATCTGCACCCAGAGCAGGTTGTTTTGCTTGCTTATAAGTGTAAACGTTTAGAAGTGAAGCATTCATGTGCATACTTGTTCTGGGCAGCAAATACAGCATTAGCAAGCAACTTGTCTCTTTGCTAATTGTCAAATGTCAAGTTTTACTAATCGTATAGTGAGCAATGACATCTTAGAATATTGAGATTTGCATTATGCTTACATTAAATGAAGCTGAATGTTTTAGAGAGCTATTTATGACATTTCCATGATTATTGCTCATTTTCATTTGCTGAGAGCACTTCTTTATTAAGAAGAGTATTTTTTTAAAAAAGATTTGTCTGTTTTCATGGGAAAGGCAAAGTTTACAGAGAGAAGGAGAGACAAAAAAATCTTCCATCCTCTGGTTCACTGCCCTGAATGGTCACAATGATTGGAGCTAAGCTGAGCTGAACTTCTTCCCTTCCCCAGCAGGGATCCAAGACTTTGGGCTATCCTCAGCTGCTTTCCCAGACCATAAGCTGGGAGCTGGATGGGAAGTGGAGCAGCTGGAACACAAACTGGCACCCATATGAGATGCCGGCACTTGCAGGTGGTGGATTAACCAATCAGTCCCTCCCCAGGAAGAGTAATTTTTTGTGATACATATTTCAGATATTTTTTCTGATTAGACATCTGTCTTTTAGCTTTAGAACTTTATTTTTCAAAGCTTCTTTACATATGATTAAATTTTATTAGCTCACTTTTTTAATAGGGAAGAATCAAAAAGACAGTATGTTCTAATATATATTTGATACAAAAAAAGGGGAAAATGCCAGTATGAGCAATTTTAAGAATAACTGTCTAGAACCTCTCCCCAGGGTCACTGCCAGCCCTGAGGTCACCCTCTACTTCCCTGTCCTGGGCCAGAATTCTTTGTTCTCAAGTGATCAACACTTTTATTAGTCTGTGATAGCCAATCCCTGGCTTTCTTTGTGTTTTTACTCAAGCAGTTGGTGCGATTGTTTTGTTTTTCCAGAAAAGGGTCAGGCTTGTAGTAGGCATTATGGACCAAACGGGATTGCCTACAACCCTCAGCTCTGCTAGTGTAGTGCACAGATAGCCATGGACAAGTCCTAGTTCTTTTCTCATGGACATAAATCTGAATTGTACCAAATGTCCTTTCAGCACACCCTCCCTCCCCCATGCGTTTAAAAATTATAAAACCAGGCCTGGCACAATAGCCTAGAGGCTAACGTCCTCACCTTGAATGCATCAGGATCTCATATGGGTGCTGGTTCTAATCCCGGCAGCCCTACTTCCTATCCAGCTCCCTGCTTGTGGCCTGGGAAAGCAGTCAAGGATGGCCTAGGGCCTTGAGACCTTGCACCTGTTTGGGAGACATGTAAGAAGTTCCTGACTCCTAGCTTTGGATCGGTGCAGCACAGGCTATTGTGGTCAATTGGGGAGTGAGTCATCAGATAGAAGATCTTGCTCTTTGTCTCTCCTCCTCTCTGTATATCTGACTTTCCAATAAAAATAAATAAATCTTAAACAAAAAATTATAAAACCAATGGCCAGCATCATGGCATAGTGGGTAAAGCTACTACCTGTTATACCTGTGTCCCATTTGGCACACTGTTCTGGCTCCTCCAACTTCCAATTCAGTTCCCTGCTATTGACCTAGAAAAAGCAACGAAAGATGGTCTATATGCTTGGACCCCTATCACCCACAGCTTCCACCTAAGGCAACACTGGGCCAACATCGTGCTCATCTGGGGAGTGAACCAACAAATGGAAGATCTCTGTCTCTCCCTCTCTTACTCTTTCAGATAAATAGAAAAAAATGAAGATGTAAGACCCCTTTTAGTTCAAGGGCAGTGTTAGAGGTGACCAAGGACCCAGAGTTTGATTGTTGGTTGACTTCCTGCACCTGCATCTCTAAATAGGATAGTTCACTGTCGTCTATTTCTGACCCGTGAGTGAGACCAGAGATTCCCTTATGGCAGTCTTTCTTCACTCACCACCAGGTTTGTGTCACATCCACATCTGTGTGTGCTATTTGGGACTGTGATGGCCAAGGTGATGTCTGCTTGGCACCAGTTCTGGTGCCTGTGCAGAACCTCTCCAGACTATCAATCTGTTTAGTAGAATTGCCAAATCAGGAGATAGATAGCTCTCCACTTTCTTGTTGCTCCGTCCTTTTTCCCAAAATAGTCTAACTTGTACTTCTGTCAAGCAGGAGATAAGATTTCCCATCATATGTTTTTGTCACTGCTTGATGTTATCAGATTTAAAAATGTTTACCACACTGTTGTTTGTCATTGTGATTTTAATTCAAGCTTCTTTAATGACTAATGAGATTCAGTATCCTTTTAATGTTTTAACAGCTATTCTCTCGTAAGATTTACTTGTTTAAACCTTTTACTTTTTTTTTTTTGAAGAGTGAGTGTCTGTCTTTCTTATAAATACATTGCAGAGATTCTATATTCTGGATGTCTGTTATCAGTTATATGTGCTACAAGTATTTTTCTCCATTGTGTGGTGCAGTGTTTTTTTTTTTTCTTTTACGGTTTTTCTGCTAAAAGGAAGTTCATGTGTGCCAGCTTCATCCCTTTACAGTCCTTCCTTGTCCAAGTCCCTGCCTGGGCGTGTTTCATAAGTATGTGTCTTTAATTAGAAGTATTTCAAGTAATAGAAAAAGTAGACAGAAGGGAGTTCGTTGGGCATACACAGTCTTCATAGCCATGAGTTTTTCAGCTTACCTAAGACCTCTTTCTAAAGTTCTCTTCAGTTTCTCAAGTTTTATCATTAGAGTCTGCTAAACAACCAATGCAAGTATAACCCACTAAATGTCATTCTCAGAGGCAACAAAAATGCATTTTTACTTTTTATTTTTAAAAATCAGTTATTTTATTTTTGTTTTTATTTTATTTGAAAGGCAGAGAGACAGAACCTCCATGTGCTGATTTGCTGCTCAGATGCTCCAGCAGCCAGAGCCTGGCAGGACAAAGCAGGAACTCAGAACTTAGTCTGGTTGTCCTTCTGGGTGGCAGTGACCAAGGATTTGAATATCCTGCTTCCAGGATACACATTAGCAGGAAGCTAGAGTTGGAAGCAGAGCCAAGACTTGAACCTAGGCACTGATCTGCAGCCGTCTTGAGTGTCATTCTACCTACTAAGCCAAACACTCACCCCATTTACTCTTTTTCTTAAGAGAGTTTTACTGTAACATTCTGGGGACACCGTCTCAGATGAGGGAAGGCTCGGATCCTGAGGCCGGCTGCAACCTGTTCCTCCTAAGGTGTCTGTCTATGCCAGGCCTGGATGAGGGCAGACTCCTGGAGGGACATGTGTGGGAGACTGACTAAAGACCTATCAGAAATGTTGAGCAGACAGTTGGATAGTTAAGCCTGGAATTCAGAGGAATGTTTTAGACTGGAAGTTCAGATGTAGGGGTTGTCAGCATCAAGCTGGCATTAAACCCATAAAGCTGCTTGAGATCACCAAGGGACTCAGTAGAGAGGAGGCCTGAGGATAGAGCCATGAACCTGCTTTCAGTGTCAAGTTCAGAGACCAAGAGGGGCCAATAACAGAGCCTGAGAGGGGACCACCAGTGAGAATGAAGACAAAGGGAGAAGTCTTTGAGGAGGAGAACATGGCCAGTAGTCCAAATGGAATTCTTTGGCTACACAAGATGGGGACTGAGCAGTTCCTATTGTTTTTGACCTAAGAACTGTGTCATTGGCTGTGATGAATGCTGGCAGGAGTGTCAGCACATCCTTCCCCAACTGTCCCTTTAAAGACCACTATGCTGACCTCCATCCATAACAAGTATGTGAGCGGATATGCAAGGGTGCATTTTTAGTGTCAGAGACCCCAAAGCCAGCCGAATCTGCAGATTCTGTTTTCTGGGACCTGCCACACTGTGGGAAGAATCTGCCAGGCATGACTTTCATAGCCAAGGCTGGTGTTAAAATCCAGTGAAAGATAAAAGGGCTCACATTTGGGAAGTCAGCGTCCTCTGACAACATCCCTTGTTCACAGTTTCTGAGACAGCTAGCACGTATGGTACACTAGGAGCCCACCGTGTGCGAGTTCCTTGTTAAGGATTTTACCTGCGCTAGCCCTGCTCTCAAAATGACCCCTGGACTTGGATATTATTGTCCCAAGCATGCAAACAGCCACATGGTTAAGAAATGTCTGAGCCGCTATGGTTTTGGACTCATATAACTTCTACAATGTTTGAAGTTTTCTGTCTGAAATCTTCTAGGCCTAAATGGTGCTTTTGTTCTTCAGAAAGGACCAAATAAAACACCTGTGACTGCCATCTGCCTGACCAGCTTGGTGACCATGGCCTTTGTCCTGGTGGGTCAGGTGAACATTCTGGCCCCTATCGTGACCATCAACTTCATGCTGACATACGTGGCAGTGGACTACTCGTTCTTCTCTCTGTCCATGGGCTCCAGCAGCCCCTCGCGGGCGCCCGAGCCAGTGCTCAGGGAGGGCATGGAAGCTGTCCACTGCTCGGAACACCTGCTCCTGGAGAAGGCTCCCAGCTATGGCTCCGAAGGCCCCACCCGAAGCCTCTCAAAGGGCACACTTCTGGAATTTACCAAAGACATGGACCAGCTCCTCCGGCTGACCAGCGAGCTTGAGAGTAGCCAGCCCAGGCAAGAAGACGAGAGCAGAACTGCTGGGGGTCAGAAGAGGAAAGGCAAGAAGGCTACAAAACACACCCTACACGACAGCTTCCTCCTGGACTCCAGGGCCTCCACTTCCCTCCCTCCTGATGGCTCTGACAAGTCGCCCACTGCCTCCTGGGAAGGACAAGGGTCCACCTGGAATAAGCAGACTTCCAGGAGTGAAGGGACTTGGCCTGGGGGAACGTGTGAGGAACTTGTTCCGGAGCTGTGTAACCAGCGTCGGCCAAGTAGAGAAGGTGAGTGCCTAGGACCCGTGCCGGGCCTCTGACTTCTGGGTATCACGATCAGGATTTAAAATTAGGCATCAGCTGAATTATTTCTGATTCTTCTCTGCCATAGATACTGTTGGTAATTTTAAGCACAAATTGCTGTGCAGTCCCGTATGTCAGAACTGGGAGCCATGGCTTAACAATTGAATATAATTTCTTTTCACTCAAAACTCCATTGAGATCTGATGCCAGTGTTACGGGAAGGGATTTTTCCCTTCAAGAGAAGTCCAGATGTGCTGACAAGCGGCTCGCCTGTGGAGGAAGGGTCTTTCAAGCTTTGCCAGAAAGGGAGGATAGGAGGCAGCTAAAGGAAACGACTTTGCTTTCTCAAATGTAGAAACAGAAACAAGACAGAAACTCTGAGAGAAAAAGCTCATGATTTGTAAGGATCAGCTATATTCTAGGTGGTTTACATTACCCTGGGGCTCGGCAAGGTCAGAGAGCAGTTCCTGAGCTGGTTCGCTGTGCAGTTGGTCATGGCTCCAGGCCTGCCTACACTTGGCTCTTGTGTATGTTACTCCACCTTCCTGCCCTTAACACCTGTCCGGACAGATGTGGACCAGTTCAGGAGGCGTGTCAAGACAAACCCTTTACGTATTCCTATGGGCTTGTTTCTCTTTTATGATTTCTAAATTGGTGATAGAATCTTTTCATGGTTGGAACATTATTTTATTTTTAAAAATTTGTCAAAACAGCAAATACAAAGTTTAATAAGCCCACTGGTTTCCAGTCACATAGGGAAAATAGTTCTTGCTTTCCATACTACCACTGCTATCCTTTTCTGCGACCTACTCCCAGAAAACCTCGCTTTTCAACCAAAAAGTTGTATCCTCTGTTGATTCCCCTGATACTAAATAGCACATTTTTTTTTTTTAAATGACAGCTTCTTGTTTTTATTATGTATGTATTTGAAAGTCAGAGTTAGAAAGAGAGGGAGAGACAGAGAGAGCTTCCATCCACTGTTTCACTCCCCAGATGACTGTAAGAGCTGGGGTGGGCCAGGCTGAAGCCAGGAGGCAGGAGCCTCAGTAGAGTCTCCCACTTCGATGGGAACATGGGAACAAGCCCTTGGGCCATCTTCTGCTCTTCCCAGGCTGGTAGCAGGGAGCTGGAGTGGAAATCAAGTAGTTGGGGCGTGAACCTGCAGCCGTGTGGGATGGCAGTCTTGCAGGTAGCGTCTTGATCCCTCAAATTCAGACACCAACTTTTGATTTCCTGTGATAGTAACAGGACTTAACTCTTTTGCATCACTCTGACTTCTCTTCATTTAATATTCCCAAGTTATAACATAGGTTTTTTGAATAATTAAGAGCTAGACTTTCTATTGGCATGACTAAGGAAATATTACTTCCTAATCATATGTTGTGTTATGCTTGTATTTCTTCATTTTTATTCAGTGTTTTTGTTTCCTGAAGGTCAAAGTTGACTTGTTTTTTCCTTATTATTTTAAGTCTCCAGCAGATCTATCAAGTGCTTCTTCATGTTATTTTCTACTTGTTCCAATGTGTCAGAAACGTCTCTTATCCATTTTTTGTTCTTCCCCTCCCCCTGTCCTCTGGTTTCCATCCTCTTGTTGCATTCCAGACTGTTCTCTAGGGCTGCCACAGAGTTGTGTTAGGATTTTTCTCTTGGCCATACTTACATCAGGTCTAGAAAATGTGATTCCCTGGATAGACCCTCATCTTTCTGTTACTGTTACTGCCTGCTTCTTCTTCTGTGATCTCGCTGTGTTTGAAGAATTTCCAGTGTTACAGAACAGGGGAACATTGTATAGCATTCACATTCAAAACTGACAAATGTCAGAGCTGACATTGTAGTACAATGGTTAAGCCACTGCCTACAACCCTGGCAATTCAAGTCCTGGCTGCTCCACTACTAGCACAGGTGCCTGCTAATGCTACTGGGAGAGCAGTAAAGCAGGCCCAAGTACTTGGGCCCCTGCCACCCTCCAGATGAATTTCTGGGCTCCTGGGTTCAACCTGGTCCAGACCTGAAGAATGAACCAATAATTGGAAGAGCTCTCTCTCAACCCATGTCTCCCTCTGTCTCTGTGGTTTTGCTGTTCAAATAAGTAATTAATATTTTTATAAGAATACTGAAAATGTCAGAAACTCAGTTTTCTGGCCTTTCCTGTAGTCTGAGTTCAGGTACAGGAACCAGACTGTGTTAATCAGGGAACCCTTCTCATGTCTGGTGTTAGGGAGCTGGAAATCAGAAAAAAGAATTCATGGAGCTTTCTGGAAGCATGATGGTGGCTGCAGGAAGTCTGTGCTGTCGGCTCTAGTGTTAAGGGCTTTGGTTCGTTGGTGCTACCCCATGTGTCTCCTCTGGACTACTCTGGCACATAATGTTGAGTGTTGCCCTTGGCTGTATAACCCTGACCCAACTACCTTTCCAGGCCATTCTCAGAAGTCCAATATTCTGTCTGTTTTGTTGAGATAAAATACAAAAGACATATAATTATTTTTAAGTATGCAATTTAGTGTTATTAAATATTTATAACATTGTATAAACATCTTTACCATCTATCTCCTTAACTTTGTAAAGCAAAAATTGTCTGTCAAATTGTCGCTTATAACCATTCCCCCCCAGCCCATAACACCACCATTCTATTTTGCTCCTCTGCTTTTTTTTTTAAAGATTTATTTTTATTTTTATTATGAAGTCAGATATACAGAGAGGAGAAGACAGAGAGGAAGATCCTCCATCCGATGTTTCACTTCCCAAGTGAGCACAATGGCCAGTGCTGTGCCGATCTGAAGCCGGGAACCAGGAACCTCTTTCAGGTCTCCCACATGGGTGCAGGGTCCCAAAGCTTTGGGCTGTCCTTGACTGCCTTCCCAGGCCACAAGCAGAAAACTGGCTGGGAAGTGGAGTTGCTGGGATTAGAACTGGCGCCTATATGGGATCCTGGTCCGTTCAAGATGAGGACTTTAGCCACTAGGCCACGCCGCCAGGCCCTGCTCCTCGGCTTATGACTATTTTAACTATCTCATGTAAGTGAAATCATATAGTATTTTTAAATGTGTTTATTTGAAAAGGAGAATAAAAGGGAAAGATGTTGAGATCTTCTATCTACCGATTCACTTGCCAAATGGCCACAACTCTTGGGGCTGGTCCAAGACCAAACTGGGAGCTCCATTTGGGTCTCCATGTGAATGGCAGAGATCCAAGTGCTGGGGTCATCTTCCACTGTGTATTAGCCGGGAGCTGGATTATAAGGGGAGCAGCTGGGATACAAGCGCATAGTCTAGCATGGGATGCCAGCATTGCAATTGGCAGTTTAGTTTACCATGGCACAACACTGGTCACAGAATCATATAACATTTGTCATTTTGAACTTTGCCTATTTAGGATAATATCCTCAAGTTCATTCATGTTTGGCACATATCAGAATTTACTTCCCTTTGAAAGCTGGATCCTATCCTGAGGAGTAGATAAATCCATCTTGCCGATTTGTTCTTCTGTCAGCGGACACTGGGGTTGCTTCCACATTTTAGCCACTGTGAAGGATGCTGCTATGAACGTGGATGGACAAGTGGCTTTCCAAAGGCCTTGATTTCAGTTCTTTTGGATATATGACTCAGAAGTGGAAACGTTGCATCATAGGGCAATTCTGTTTATGAATTATGTTGAATTATGTTGAACTATGAATTATGTTGGACATAATTATGAATTATGTTGAATTATGTTGAAAAACTGCTATGTTGTTTTCCATAGGGCAGAACCATTTTGTATTCCTACCGATAGGGACACAGAATCCTTTTGATATATATATACATATATATATATCCTTTATGATTAAATCAGTCGAAGCTAGATTCTGGTTGCTTTCAATTCGATTCTTCCTTTTAGAAACGTTTATTCATCTTTATTTGAGGGATATAGAAAGATTTTCCATCCTCCTGTTTATTCCCCAGATGCCCACAACAGCCAGAACTGAGCCCAGGCCCTAGCCGGGAGCCGGGAGCTCCATTCAGATGGCACACATCAGTGGCAGGGACCTACGCACAGGAGTCATCACCCGCTGCCTCCTAGGGAGTGCCACAGCAGGAGGCTGGCTCAGAAGCATGGGTGGCGCTTGATCCTAAGCACTGTGGTATGGCATGTGGGAGGCTTAATGTGCTATACCACAAAGACCACCTATATCTTTTCCTTCTTAATGTATTACTTACTGCTTGGTTTTGATGGCATACACACTCTAGTGGCTTTCTAAGCAGAATGAGTGAGAAATACACTATGAATCGTTGCAGGTCTCAAAAATCAAGCCAACCTTATGCTTGATTTATAGCTTGGTTGAATAAAAACTCTTCAGTTGAAAATAATTCTCCTGGCTATTGTCAGAGGATTATTATCTGCTCAGTTACAATGAGCTCACTTTCAGGGTTGGGAAATTTGCTGTTCTGATTCTTGTTTGTTTTTGAGTGTCTTCCAACTGCTGAATCACTCCCCAAATGGCTGCAACAGCTGGAGCTGGGTCGCTTCAAAGCTGGGAGCGAGGAGCTTCTTCTGGGCCTCCCATGAGGGGGCAGGGGCCCAAGCACTTGGGCCATCCTCCACTTGCTTTCTCAGGCACCTTAGCAGGGAGCTAGGTGGAAGGTAGAGCAGCCAGGACTTGAACCGCTGCTTATGTGGGATGCTGGTGTTACACATAGCATCTTTGCATGCTATGCCACAGCACGGGTTCCTGATTCTTGTTTCTTGGAGACTTTGAATGATGCCTGATCTTTCAGGAGATGTTCAGGGTATTTTCTTTGCAACCTCATGTTGGCCATTTAATTGGTCCTTTTGTTCTGGGATTCTCATGTCCCTCAGTCCTGAGGTCTTTGTTTTTGACTTCAGGTGTAGAGGATGGAGAAAATCATGCAGCTCAGCTCAGAATATTCTTGCCATTTGCTCAACAGTCTTTTATGCTTCTTCACCCCCATGGATTTCCTTACATCTTTGATTTCCTCAAAATCACATGT